CCCCCCCCGGCCCACCGCGCACCTTTGCCCCTCGCCAAGCACTTGCGGTGGAACAACATCCCCTTGCACAGCTCCTTCCCGCTGCCGCAAGCCCACATGGGCTGAGACGCGCACCCCATCAAGCACGAGCTGCACCTCCGCTTCTTTTTCCCTTCAATCTCGTCCTTGACCTTCCTGGGCGGGACAACGCGAGGGAGGCGGGTTCCGCCAGACCTCTGCACACACACAGACACACAGACACACAGACATGCAAGAGTCAGTTCCGCCAGACCTTTGCACACCCACTGCCGTCGGTACAAGTCTTCGAGTAGAAAGCGTGTTCGGGTTTCTTATCCCGCTATTAAAATACTGACGTTTTTTATTGGTCAGCCGGTTAGCGCAGCCGATGCTCCAGTCGTGGCTAAGATGTAAGAGGGTGAAGTGACCAAGGCCCTCGACCCTCTTATATCGAAGCCCCTTCTTGTACCGGAATAAGAAGCTACCCTACAATTCTATGGCGGGTCGACTCCGTGACAAACAATTTCAACCTTCAACCTTCCGACATCAGAGCCACGATTGTAATTCAATTTAAACAAACACAAAGTCAGGTTTCGGAAAATCGGCGTCGTGGTTGCAGGAGACCTGGGCACCCTGCAAGGAGGAATGTTTGGCTTTGCCAGAAGTCGCAACCCCCCCCCCCCCCNCCCCCCCCCCCCTCTCTCTCCCTCCCTCTGTCCTCTGTCTCTCTCTGTCTCTGTCTCTGTCTCTACCATATATGTACATCTCCATGGACGTCTTTTTCACCTTGGCGATGACCAGGCCTCTCTCCAGCTCCTCTCCCGTGCACAGCGGGCACACGTACGCCCCCTGCAAAAAGAAAACGGGACCATCCCACCATACCGTTAACAAAGAAACGGGATCCCGAAATTCCGTCCACAAGGAAAAAATAAGGGGGAGGGGTCCGCACACAAACAACAGGGGGTGAGCGGGGATACAGATGGCGCCCGCACTTAAGAACCTCTATTGTAGTTTCGGCCGAGGCTGGGATTCAGATTTTGCTGATCATCCTCTTGTGGGCTACAAATGGCCGCTATATGGGTTTAAGGATGGGGTTCTTAACCGAGCTCACAAATGGTGCTCGAGTTCTTAGCTTCTGGTATTTTGCGAGTCTCAATTTCTTAACCGCTAAGTTCCTAAGTGCGGGCGCTATCTGTGTGGGCGTTGCCGTAGTAGACTCTCACATCCCTGCAGATTCGTCGCGAAGCACGTCGGTTTGATTTTCGACAAGTCAGGCGCTGACTCTTGCGCCTACCCATGCTTACGTAAGTCACACCGCGGTGACCCCCCCCCCCCNCCCCCCCCCCCCCTTACAGCAAGTCGCCAGGAAAAATGATGCAAATAGAGAATGGAGTTGCATGGAAACTACCACCGGCACTTTGCGCCCGCGTGACTGAGACGCACACACGTAAATATCGTGAGCCAAAATTGTCGACGTACGGACATGCCGCTTTTGAAATAAAATAAAAAATGGATTCTACCCGAAGACCTTCATCGCTTTCCAGTTTTGTCGTGGCTTTGGGGGGGGGAGTAAGAGGCGGTGGGGATCTTGTATTCCTGGCCAACGGCTTGTGTCGTGCATCATAGCAACTGAGTACCAGGTTCGTGATATCCCGCTCGTCGCAAGAAAAAATAAAGTTAATGCTGGAGACCTGTACCGTGACAAGTACAGCACGCTTCACGAGGAGGAGGAGGAGGGGGAATTCCATTGCCTACCTCCGGAGGCGTGTCCATGGGCTGCGGCAGGCAGTAGCAGTGGAAGTAGCTGTAGCACTTGTCCCTATCGCAGACAAGGATCAGGTCGTCCCGGTCGTTGCTCCCGCAGGCTAGGCAAGGGTCCTCGCACGCAGTGTCCTTGCCGGCGTCCACGCACCGCTGACAGTAGAATCTGT